CCCCTGACTCTATGATCTTGTCCAAATCATTTCTCTGAGACTCAGTTTCTTTGTCTACAAAAAAGCTACCTAAGAAATCACTAAGGTCAAATTTTTTATTCTCTGTGAATTGGACAGACAATTGAAGCAAGTAACAAAACCTCCTGATCTTTATGAGCATTGAAAAATGGCTCCAGAGTAGATGAAATTACTTGGAGTTCAGAATGGGAAGAACAGAGAAATTCCATTTGTTTTCTGGCTTAAGCCTAGATGTCCACTATAATAATAATTATAATAATAATAATAATAATAATAATAATAATAGGCAGATGTTTGCTGGAGCCAACTCTAACTGGCTCACCAAACCTGCTAGATTTTTAGTGTGCATGTTTCCACCTCAGTTCCTAATAACACAGTGTTAGTAACACAGATTAAAAGTGAGTATGGATGCATTTTCCCCCCAATAACTTACATTTGCCAATCCAGCCCTGATAATAGATCACATTTCTATAGCATTTTAAGATTTATAAAACATTTTCTATGTGTTATCCTCCCCATAATCCTGTAAGGTAGTATTGTTATCATCCCTGGGTTACAGATGAGGAAACTGAGGCAGAAACAAGTGATTTGCCCTGAGTTATACTACTAGTAAATATCTGAGACAGGAGATCAGCCTGTCTCACCTATTCTGGGGACCTTCTGTAACTCAAATAATTACAGGATAACTGAGCTAGAACAAAACAGAGGTTGTCTAGTTCAACTATCTCATTTAACAGAAGATAAAACCAAGGCTCTCAAAGGTTAAGGTACTTGTTTCAGGCTTTATGGGCAGCAAGTGGCAGATTTGGGATTTAAACCATTTTTTGATAACCGGCCTGTGTTCATTACACAATACTATGAAGATCCAGCCTATGATTTAGAGAATTTTCCCAAGATGTAAAGTAATTGTAAAAACAGTGAATGGGCAGGATCCCTAAAGGGGGTGGTCAGAAGTATCAATTAAGAATAAGTAGCAAACTTGTTTTGGTGTTAACAAATCTTCCACTGCGGGAACCTGCAGTCTTGAGGCCACATGTGACCCTTCTAGGTCCTCAAGTGTGGCCCTTTGACTAAACCCAAAGTTCACAATTGTTCTGTGAAGTTTGAATTCATTCAAAGGGCCGCACTTGAGGACCTAGAGGGCTACATGTGAATGCCACGTGTTCCCCATCACCGTTCTAGTGAGATATTTTTTATTATTGTTCAGTTGTTGAAGTTGTATCTGACTCTTCATGACCCCATTTGGGGTTTTCTTGGCAGAGATACTGGAATGGTTTGCCATTTTCTTCTCCAACCCATTTTACAGATGAGGAAATAGGCAAACATGGTTAGGTGACTTAACCAGGGTCACACAGCTAATAAGTGTCTGAGGCCAGATTTGAACTCAGAAAGATGAGTCTTCCTGACTAAAGGCCCAGTGTTCTATCCACTGCACCCACTAGCTGCCCAGTGGGATAGTTCTTGGGCAAAACTGTAATTCTGAGGTTGATAAATAAGATAGAGACTATAAGAAAGAGAAAGGTGCTTTTTAAAAAACTGGAATGGAAGTGAAGATACTGTTTGGAGGAAAGTGGTAACCAGATTAGTAGAATAATCACAATGACCAAATCCACATTTCACAGAAAGCATAGGATCATAGAATTAGAGTTACAAGAGACCTCAGAAGCTATCTAGTCCAAATCTCTTATCTTACAGATGAGGAAACAGGCCTGCAGAGGTTAAATGACTCGCACAAAGTCACACCAGGTAGTGTCAGAGATGAGATTTGAACCACAGATTTTTGTAGTGAGTTTTCAAAGTAGAAACTGCACACAAGGAACTTAAATAAAGGAATAGCTAAAAGTAAATTGCCATAAACTATTAACTGCTAAAAATAAAATTAAAAATAGGTTGACCAGAAAGTCCCTGCAAAGTTCTGCAAAATAATAATCTGCATAGGGACTTCTGACTCATTTTCTTTATGCCTATGTTAGCAAAAATTTGCATCTCTGTAACATACGTTTTTGTAAACATGTTTCTCTGTAAGAGGAAAAGGGCCAAGCCAGATTTCTCAAGAACTACATTTTAGGCAGAAAAAAGCCACCTCTCCATTCTGATGTGCTTTTCCTTTTATTGGGTTGATCAGACCTGGTAACTTTTGTTTGCCTTCATGATGGAGATAAAATGTATCTGTAGTCTTCTAGACTAATTGCTTGAGGCTATAACAGTGCATGCCAGTAGTAAATCTAGTAGATGGTTCTTTATTTTCCTATTTGTGCATCACTGAGGAAAGACAAATCATTTTTTTGTGAATGGGTAAGTTTTTAGCATAAGACAAGCTCATTTACCTTTGATATGTACAAAATAGTTTGTCCATGAAGTGATTAAGTATGTGTACCCGAAAGAGTCACTGTGCAACAGCATGGAATGAGTTTATACAGATTGTTAGGGCTAGACGGTACCTTAGTAAACATGATCTTTTTGTTGTTGTTATTCAGTCATTTCAGTGTTGTCCAAGTACATGACCCCATTTGAGTTTTCTTGGCAAAAATACTGGAGTGGTTTACCATTTCCTTCTTAAGAAATACTGGTTTGCCATTTTCTTTTCTAGCTTATTTTACAGATTGGTTAAGTGACTTGCGAACTCAAGAAAATGAGTCTTCCTGACTCCAGGCTGGGCACTCTATCCACTGTGCCACTTAGACATGATCTAGGACAGTGAGAAGAGTCCTGGATATAGTCACAAGCCTCAGGTTAAAATCCCACCTCTACCACTTTCTACCTATGTGACCTTGGGCTATTTATTACCTGGACTTCATCTTCTTCCTCATCTGAAAAGTGAGAGTTCAACCAAATGGACTCTAAAGTACCTTCTGGCCCTAAATCTCTGCTGTAATCAGTCTTCCTTGTTCTACAGATGAAAAAAACTGAGGCTCAAATAACTTGTGATTTGCCTATGGTCATACAAGTTAGTTCTAAGTACAGACTCAAAACTAGGTTTCATCATTGCTGTGGTCCAGTATCTTTTCTACTCCATCTATCTTGTGAAATAATGAGATAATATTTATGAAGTGCTTTTCAAACCATCAAGTGCTATATAAGTGCCAGCTATTATTATTTTTGAGATAACGAGTTAACAACTCTGTGATAAAGAATGGCAGAGAGAGAATTTAGCGGAGGCCATTTTTGCCTAAGATGGTAAGTTGGGCTACATGACTCTGAAGGTCTTTTCCAACTATAAGATTTTATACTATGGTGACTCTGGTTATATAAAGGGTTCTTTCCTGAGCCATCTTCTCTAATCTTGCTTTCTTACTGTTTTGCTTTGGTCTTGCTTTTCTTTTTTCTCTCTTCCTTGCTTTCCTCATCATTTTTTTCCCTTCTACTGAAGGTGAGAGATAGGCAAAGAAGTTTAACACTCCTTAAGCACATCTTTACCATTACCACTGTGAAAATATAGCATTGAAGACGTATACCTACACTTGAAAAGCATCCAGGAAAGGAAAGAAAATTAAAGGAGGTTGAGGTACTATTCAAATCAGCTATCATGGGATGTGTTTTACAACGAAGTTCTTCGGGTTCCTTCAATGATAGTTTTTGTCCCTCGTCAGTCATATCAGTGTATGGTGCTGGATGTGCCATACTTTCAGAGAGATATTTGGCTTATTGAATGATTTTGCTAATATTAGAAAGATTTTTTTTGTTTTCTCATAAATGTTTTTGGTAAATTCATATGTGATTCTTTTTAGATTTGTCAAATTTTTTTCTATGAAAGTAACATTTCTAAAATTTAAGGGAGGAGGGAGGGAGAACAAGTTATTTATTTACTCACTCCTCCAAACTTGGCAAATATTCCCTGATCTCCCCCATTCTTCAAGAAAAAAACCACCACCTAATCAAACACTTCACTACTTGACCCTGCAATCCCTTTAATTTATTATCCTTTATCTCTTCTCCCTTGTACTGCCAGGTCCTAAAGTTGTCCGTACTTGCAATTCCCATTTCCTTACATCCCACTCACTACTCAACCCCTTTGAAGGAAGCTTCAGATTCTTAGAGGTAGAGGTGAAATGGGAATGACTTCTAAGCATGGGGGGATAGGTATAATATCATGTGTGAGGGACAGCAAGTAGGCCGGTTTGGTCATACTTTGGAGTGAGTGAAGGGAGATAATGTGTAATAAATCTGGGACCAGATTATGAAGGCTCTTAAATGTCAAATAGAGGAGTGACATTGTGACTTGTACTTGAGGAATATCATTTTGGCAGTTATATAGAGTGTGAAATGAAGAGAGGAGAGACTTGAGTCAGAGGAACCAATTAGGAAGCTATTCTGGTAGGTCAGGTGAGAAGTAATGAGAGCCTGAATTTGTGTGATGGCCCCTTGAGTGGAGAGAAGAGAATGATTATGAGTAGATGGTGGAGAGATACAATCAGTATGATTAGATGGGAGAGGGAAGGTGGGACAAAGCAGAGTATGTGTTGAGAGAGAATGAAGAGTTTATTATGATTATGAGGCTGTAAACCAAGATGACTGAAAAAATGGTACTCCCCCAAACAGAAAAGGAAGTTAGGAGGAGATATAGGTTTGGATGAAATGATAATGAGTTCTCTTTTGGAAATGTTGGGTCATCTAGTACAACTCCCTCATTTTACAGGGAAAGAACCTGAGCCCAATGAGGTTAAATGACCAATCCATAGTCACACACACACATAGTAAGTGGCAGAACTGAGACTAGACTTCAGTTCTGACTCTAAATCTGATGACGCTTTTTTCATGGAGCCATGCTCCCTCCCGACATTTTACCTGGAATGGTGAAACCAACAACCATTGGTTTCATCCATAAACACAAAACCAAATGTGGCAGATTTAAAATTAAAGTAGTGGTTGATGGCTCTGTGTTGTCTTAAGGGTTTCCCATGTTTTAACAGCAGAGAACATAGAAGTGCCAAAGAAAACATGCTTCTATTTTCACACTTGTCCAACTGTTGGTTTTCTTATAGAACTCTCACCCTGTGCCAGCAAGTAAGACCACAGAATTCCTCCCCAGCTCTCAAGCTTCAGCTCCAAAGGTGAGCAAGTTCAACTTTATTACTTGTATTTGCATCATGCTTCATATATAAAGAGATCATAAGCATTATTTAACATTAAATTTGATCCTGTTTTATGAGGTTCAGCAACATCAAATAGATTTCATTGACTCACTGGAGGTTACCACAGGAATCAGAAATAGAAATAGCTGCTGTTCCTATTTCCTAATTATTGCTTTTCTGAAATATGCTTGAAAACTCTTGTATTGACATTTTCCCCCAGATAAATTAGCAAGCTTATATGAAATTTTCTATCAGTCCAAAATACCATTCCCATTCTGAGAGGAGCAGCTTCTAGTGATCATTGCAGATGCAGAAATCCAAGAGCACAAAATGCTGTCCACCTTTCTCTCCATATCCCTCTCTCCTTTTTGCTGTTCTACTTCTGTTAATTGTTAATCTACCTTTGACATTTCTCTTTAATGCATCTAATTCCTCCTTTAAGAAAGAAGGAGGGTAGATTCGGTCCAGAAGAGAAAGCAGGGTTAGAACAACCTTATCCAATTCATTTAACTAACATTCATTTAATTCCTACTTTTATGGAGAATGTCAGGGATACACATATCTCAGGATCCCAGAGTTGGAAGGGAAATCATCTCTTCCATTCCTTTTGTAAGCAAGAGTCCCCTCTCCAGAGCCCCTGAGAGGTGATAGCCAGGTTAAGGCTATCAGCCAGTTTTTAGGGATCAGGAATACATTTTTCTTTGTTCATCCGTCTTTTGATCAGTCCTAAGTGTAAGATGATTCTTCCTTCTAGCAAGCCTAAATTTGTCTCTTTGCGCTTTCCACCATTTGCTTTTATTTCTAACGCCCCAGGTACAAGTAGAACAAATCTAGTCCCTCTTCAGCGTGAAATACAAATATTTGAAGCCAGCTATGGTGTCTGACCTGCTCCCTGAGTCTTCTCTTCTCCAGGCTTAAAAAAAATTCCCATTTCCTTCAACCCATTCTTGATGGGCTATCAAAGTACAAAGCAAAGAATCTCATCCCTGAATCTCAAATTAATGATTTCCGATGAGTTTCTTCTAACTAATTCCAACTTTACAAATTTGAGAACCAGATACTTTAATTGTCATTTAAGGAATATGCAAAATCCAGGGCAGTGCCTCAAAGAGACTCTTCAGAAGGAGATACCTGCTCATCCTCAGTGGATTGGAGCAGCCATTTGAGCCAGAAAAGGAGGAGGTCAAGGTCAGGCTCAACCTCAAGTCATGTTTTGGAGGGTAAAATTCCAGAAACAACTGTGAGGAAGAAATTGAAAGTGAAGCAGTCAAGAAGACATTTGGAATATACCAAGACCAATGGGAACTCCCAGGTAGAGCATTTTATTTCTTCATTCTTAAAATTTGTAAAGAGGTACTAGTTCCTGAAGTAGCATTTGGGCAAGAGTTATACTTCATTGTAACTGTTTTGTTTTTTTCCTCCAGGCTGTCTAGCCATGTAATACAAATTGCGATCTGTAATGTCTAGCCAGGGTCTTGATTTCTCTCATTTTTCTGAATTCTCACCCCCCACCCCCCCAAAAAAGAAAGAAAGAAAACCCAAAACAAACAAGCAAAAAATGTTCTGATTGTTATTTTCAGCAGAGTAGGTGGAGAGCTCACACTAGGTGAAAGATGTCCTGAACTTAGACAGACTAGGAAATGTCTTTCTAGATATAATTTATTTAAAGAAGAAAAGTCCAGATGATTACAGATGGCAAACTTGCAGCATTACATACTCTGGAGTTTTGCATTGAATGCTTTAGAGAAGTTTGTGGCCAAATGTTACATGGTTTCCATTTACTCAAACTAAAAAGTTATAGGCAGAGGGGGATTATACTATTGCTAATAAAGTAGGACTAAAAAGTGATGAAACTGAATTTTTTTGTCACCAGAATTTGTACATTCAAATGAATGAATAATCATTTTGAGAGAATGCACACCTATTGCAACCGTACTGCCTGTGCTTTTGCTTTTTTAGAAATCTTCTTTAGGAATTTCCTTCAAAGCCAGCTTATCAGCTGCACAAGGAAATCACTCAATTACTTTACACCTTTGTCTCCTCAATGTGGTATTAACCAGCCTAACTGATCACCCACCGGACTCGACCCTCAATGACTTTTGTCTTTTTGCCGAAGTCTGGTTCACAGTTGGAGGAAGACTTGCTTCCAAAGAGGCTGTTCAGAAGAACATGCCACACAGGTCCTGCAAGCAATCCATTGATTTGACAAGGAATTATTGACTGCCTGCTGTGTACACATAGAGCAAAGATACGTGGTTCCATCCCTCAAAGAGCTTATGGTCTGTTAGGGGTGATCTTAGAGGCAGAAGACTTAAGTTTGAGTGCCAGCTCTGATACTTAATAGCAGTATGACTTTGAACAAAACATCCGTTTTCTTTGAGCCTTTGTTACCTGATCAATAAACTGGGTATAATGATATAGTTATCCGTTCCTCATCACAGGAATGAGAGGCATGACACCCCTGAGATCTGGAAAATCTCTGTAAAATGTTTTGACCCTCCCTTTGTACCAGAGAAGATTTCTGAATTTTCTTCTTTTTCTTTTATGGGGTGTTCACAGTACCTTACTGTAAAATTTGGATTAAATATTTCATCTTGACTCAGTGTGGTCTGCTGGCCTTCAGGTGTCCTCTGCAGCTTCTGAAAACTCCCCAGTAATTCCTGTTTAATTTCTTATTCCAACTTGTGATATATCAAAACCATGATAGGGAAAGTCGCCATGGGGAAGGGATAACTGTAATTACACTATTTACCTCAAGCACCTTATCTGTTTTTTCTTTTAAGAAAATGCTTCATTGACATTAAGTGCTAGACAAAGGTGAACTGTTATTATAAGACATATACACAAATAGCTTTCACAAAATAGAAATGAAAGATACAAAACTGTGAGATGTGATGCTCAAGAGGAATTACAGTACCCAGAAAGGAGCTATAAAACATTTTGAGCAATAGTATCATTGCTGGGAAAGTGTTTAATCAATCAATCAATTAAAAAGTATTGTTAAGCATTTACTATGTGCCAGGCATTGTACCTGGCAAGTATAATTATGCTATCCTAGGGTAATTATTTTGAAGGACAACTTTCGTTTGAAGGTCCTTCTTAGGAAGTCATTTCTTCCTACCAACCTATTTCCCCAGTGGATCTCAAAAATCATAGTATTTAAGAGTTGCAAGGGACCACAAACATATACCTGGACTAAAATTCCCTCTGTAACCCCTTCAAAGAAGTGGTTACCTTGTCTTTGATTGAAGACCTCAAGTAAGGGGGAATCTGTGACCTCCCAAGAAAGTCCCTTGCATTTTTTCTTATTGGTGTGTTTTGTTTTTTTTTTGGTGAGGCAAATCAGGGTTAATTGACTTGCCCAAGGTCACACAGCTAGTGAGTATCATGTGTCTGAGGCCAGATTTGAACTCAGGTCCTCCTGATTCCAGGGCTGGTGTTCTATTCACTACACCACCTAGCTGCCCTTCATTGCATTTTTAAAAAATTGTTTTTTAGTTAAAGAAAATCCAACTTCTTTCCCTCTGATACCTTCCCTTTAAAAAAAGAAATAGAAACTAAATCATTATAACAAATGTGTGGTTGAACAGTGTTCATTGTCTACGTCCAAAAATATGTGTATGTCTTAATCAACACGTTGAGTTCATTACCTTTCTGTCAGGAGGTGAGTGACATGTTTCATCATGAGTAATTGTGATTGGATATTGCATTGATCAGAATTATTAAGTCTTTGAGAAGTTGTTCATCTTTACCATCTTCTTATTATTGCTTTCTCCTGGTCTGGTCCTGCTCATTTTCTTCTACATCAGTTCATATAACTCTTCCCAGGCTTCTCTGAAACGATCTCTTTTATTATTTCTTATACCACAAAAGATGTGTTTTCATTAGGTCGTAGACCCTAAGTTCATTGCATTTTTAGATAGCTCTAATTGTTAAGATGTTTTCTCATACATTTTTTCATATCATTTTCTTCTTCATGCCTTCTGTCCAACTGCTCCTAGTTCTGCCTTCTACAACCAAGCAGAATAAATCTGATCCCTCTTTTAGGTGGCAGTCCTTCAAATATATAAGTTCAGTCATTCTTTCAAAAAATATTTGTTGAGCACTAGCAATGGGCAAGACCCTGTGTTTTTCTGAAAATCAGCTGATTGCTATTATTATAAACACACCTAATATAGGCTTGATTTTCATACAAAGTCAGGGATTGTTGAGATAATAGTTGGGATTTTTTTGTTTATTTGTTTGTTTGTTTTTGCTTAATCATGTCATAAACTAGAATGAATGAAACTACCAAAAAAGATACACCTGCAAGGAAAGTAATTAAGAATCTGGCCAAGTCTTAGAACAGCTGATCCTATGCTTCAACTGTATAGGCTTAGATAGTATATGCCACAGAAGCAAATATTAAATTAATAGAGGGCAAGACCTGTTTTATTTTTTTAATCTTTGTATTCCTATCACTTTCCACTGTGCCTGGCATATAGTAGACATTTAATAAATGCTTGTTGAAATAAAATTGTAAAGGCAAACAATTTTAAGACTTAGGAATTGTGATCAATACAGTGACTAACCACAATTTCAGAGGACTCATATTGAAACATGTTGCTCACCTTCTGACAGAGAGGTGATGGACTCAGAGGGTAGATGGAAACATATTTTTAGACATGGCCATTGTGAGAATTTGTTTTGCTTGACCAGTTATAATTTTTAATAAAAGGTTTTTTTTTTAACTTTTAAAGGGGAGGGGGGAAAGAAATCAGATTTTCATTAATTGAAAAAATGGTTTTTAAAAATGCAGTGAACTCAGTGCAGATTGAGCTATGTACATAAATGTTTATATTATTTGGACATAGCCAGAGTAGAAATTTGTTTTGTTTGATTATATATTCTTGTGGTGGAGTTTGTTTTTCTTGCTTTCTCAGTTGGGGAGAGGGGGAGGCTAGGGAAGGAGTGGCAGAGGTGGGAGGTACAGGGAATGCAGACCTGAAAATAAAATAAAATTGAATTTTAAAAATCAATAAATACTCATTGAAACATTTATCAGCAGATTTCCTCTAAAGACAGATCTTTTACTTTAGAAAATATGGAAGTGAGATGAGACTTGTGATTGTTAGACTATTTAATGTCATTTGACAAATTAACTTCAGTTTACCCAGATCTTAATTGAAATACCTATGATCCTTAATGACTTTTGTGCAGAGTATCTGATTTATGGAGCATCTGATGATTTTTTTTTTTTACTTCTCTAGTCAGTGACTGTAACTCCAGGCACTCTCTTCACCCCCACAGCATGTTAGAGAAATTAAAATTAATTGTGGCATTAATCTAAGCAAAGTGAAATTAGGATTAGTAGGATGTCATGGAGCCCTCGAACACCTTGGTTTGAATACTTGCTCTAACATTTACTAACTGTGTGACCATGGGCAAATCATCTCATTTCTCTGAATCTCATTTTTCTCAACTGTCAAATGAAGATAATAATATTTGCACAACCTACATCACAAGGTTATTGTAAAGAATGTGATTTGTAAACTTCAAAGTGTTACATTAACATAAGTGATTATTGTAATAGAAAAGCATATATGCTCTAAGAAAGTTGTACAGTGAATTCTAAAAGTCTAATATAAATCCTGTATTATGCACTTTAAGAAATTAACTTAATCAATTAGTCTTACTAAAACAATGTCTTTTCATGTCACTCTGCTCAGAAAGCTTCAGCAGTTTCTCAGGCTATAAGAGGACCAAGTTCTTACTCCTTAGGTGTGATGAGCAGAGGTCAAGAAGACCTGAACTCAAATATAGTCTTCAGTACTGGCTGTATGATCCTGAACTTCTCTCGGGCTCTGTTTCCTCATCCGTAAAACCGGGATAATAATAGCTCTATCCTCACAAGGTTGTTATGAGAAAAAAATGAAATATTGTATGTGAAGTGCTTTATAATCTTAAAGCACTGTGTAAATGTTAGCTCTCTTCCTTCCTCTCTCCTCTACTTCCTCCTTTTCCTCTCCTTCTCTTCCTTTTCTTCTTCTTCCTTCTTCTCTTCTGTTTCCTTCTTTTCTTCCCTTCCTCTTCCTCGTTTCCCCCTTTTTTTCTCTTCCTCCTCTACTTCATCCTCATCCACCTCTCTCTACTCCATGACATCCAGACTCCTGGTTGCAGTTACTACCTGTTTACCACCCCCCCATATTCTGGTTCATTCCTACCTCCATACCTTTGCTTAATTATTCTCCCTGCCTGAAATGTCCTCTTCTGTTCTGTTTCTTTTCATCTTGCCTCCTTTCAAGGCTCAAATCCTGCTTTCACCATGGTTTCCTTGGTCAATCCACTATCTACCACCATCATCATCATCATCATCATCACAAATGATATTTATATTGCACTTTAAGGCTTTCAAAGTGCTTTACATACTTTTTTTATCCTAACAACCATCCATGAGGTAGGTGCCGCAAGTATTATTACATCTGTTTTACAGATGAGGAGCCTGAGTCTGAGGAAAGGTATATGCCTTGTTCATATTCACAAAGCTACTAAATTTTATAGATGAAATTCAAACACAGGTCTCTCCTGGCTTCATGTCCCATACTTTTTTCCATTAGATGCTAAAATTGAAAGGTGACCTTACTCATCATAGTGCTTTTCCATGCCACTCATTTTATACTTTATCACGTACTGCCATTAGACAACTCATGTAGTATCATCCTGTAGTGTTACTTAACTTTTTTATGTAGTTATATCTTGTCACTCCAACAAGATTTTGAGTTCCTTAAGGGCGAGGACTAGATTATCCTTCTTTACATCTAGTACAGTACCTTGAATATCATATACATGAGAGGCACACAATACATACTTGCTGAATGAAGAAATAAATGAGTCATTTGACAGCTATGTAATAGGTGTCTGTGCCATAGGGGAAAAAACACGAAAGAGAAAAATTCTTTCATATTTGTCTTAATGTATTTTGTAGGTATCTTCTTGGGAAGCAGAAAGGAAGCCCCATCAGGGTTTTGTGGAAGACTCTAAAATTATAATTGAAGATGAAGATAGCAGCAGTGACCCAGATTTAATTATGGTAAGTGAAATGTTTCTTTTTGCCAATTAAATGGCACCCTGAAAACTATTCCATGTGAGTTTGAGGATAACATAAAGTCTTTAATTTAGAGGATCCCTTAGAGGTCAGTAACTGTCCCAGAATTTTTACATTAATAGGGATCTTATCAGCCATTTATCTAAACGCAGACAGAAAAAAGAGGGCCCTACTGCAACACATGGGCATTTAGGTGGTACAGTGAATAGAGCTCCCAGGCTAGAGTCAAGAAGACTCATCTTCCTGAGTTCGAATCTGGCCTCAGACATTTACTAACTATGTGACCCTGGATAAGTCACTTCACCCTGATTGCCTCAGTTCCCTCATCTGTAAAATGATCTGGAGAAAGAAATGGCAAACCACTCTAGTATCTTTGCCAACAAAACCCCAAATGGGGTCACAAAGAGCTGGACATGACTGAACCATAACTGCAGCACACCCAAGTAGTCATCCAACTCCTGCTTGATGATGTCCAATGAGAGGGAACCCCCTATCTCCCAAGTCAACCTATGGTATTCTCCCTTTCTTTTATATCTGAGAAAACTGAGGTCGAAAATTCAGTGGAAGAGATACAACTAGAAAGCCAGGATCCAGTTTTCCTTACTCAATCCAGTGCTTATTCCATTATAAATCTTAGGATGAAAGTGATAAAAGGGGTATGTGACTTAAAACAGTCATAAGTAATGGCTTTCCAGTGTACTTGGGTGATCATTATCTGTTCCATTAATGCTTACCCATTCCAAGTTGCTGAATTAAACCCTGCTTCAAAATGAATACCAAGAAAATAACATTTCATTGAAAATATGCAAATCTTGGCAAGTTGTGATGAATGTTTCTTTAAATAATTGCATGATTCAGTGTACCACCTTAAAGATAATGAATGCTGACTTCATAAGAAAATAATAAAGAAAAGGGATTTTTAGCCTTCTACAAATTGCAGAATCCATATGCTGTATATTGTCTTATGGTTTTAGACTAATCCAAGTATCCTCAGAAAGAAATCATTGTCATAAGACTCACGGTTTGGAGTCAGATTTTAGGGATTAGAGACTTGAAGAAAAACTCTGTGTAAAGGTAGAAATGTAAGAAAGTGATTTGTAAATGGGAGAAAGAAAAGAAGAGGATCATCCATTAAAATATCTTGACACTAAAAAAAAAAAATCAATCTGAACCATGCCGAAGGAAGCCTAGATACTCCCATATTTGAAAGGAACTCCATGTATTCAAGTGTCAAAATGGACAGGATGGATGTAATGTCTGAACCTGTTGACTGCATTGGTATAGGAAATTCTCAGGTGAGAAAACTGCCTCAGCCTATTGGCTATAGGCTTAGAAAATTGCTCAGAGCCCTGAGAATTGGAAAAAATTGCCTAATGTTACCCAGATAGTATGTGTGAGAGGTGGGGGCTTGAACCCAGGTCTGCCTAGCTCCAAAACCTGCTTCTTCTCCATTATATCACTGTATCGGTCGAAAGGGATGCAAGGCATAAAGTTGCAAACCACCCCTTTAGATTATTCAGATGTTGCTTTGACACCTCTCGCAGCTATGTGTATTCAGTGGATCTCAGATGTGGTATTCATTCGCCCAGCTTATTGTATTAAAATTGCCTCTATTTTTAAGCACTTGCCCTTTTTTCATTATAATACAATTTATGTCCCTGAAATCCTGCCATTCAGTCTGTTTTTTAGACTAATGGTCTCTAATTAATTTAGATAGATACACAGTATCCAAAGTCACACTTTGACTCTTGGCTTTCACTGCAAGAAATTCCAGTTAGAAGTAATTGCTTCTTTTTTTCATTTTCAGTTAAAAAAAAAAAAAAGACTTAACAGTATTTACCCTCTGCATTTCCTCTTAACCATTATACCCCTTGCTGAAAAGGGTCTTCCAATATCTTATGAAAATTAAACTTTAAAAAAATTCTGAGTTAGCACTATATGAAGGGAAATAATCATGGCACGAATTTCTTTGCATGTTTGCAAGACCATTTTAAATTAGGTCAGCCACCTGGTCAAATTTTTTTTCTGAAAAAATGATGAGGCTACATATAAAAAGAATGAAACAGTCCTTACAAGAAGCTACAATTCAAATGGAAAAGACAAGTATACACATAAACAAGGTGTTCCATAAGTATGCCATCCTTGTACAAGTTTGGCCAACAAGAAAAGTTTATTTCTTCTCTTCTTGATTGAACTATCTACCTGTGCCTCTTGGCTCTGACTTTGTATTGATGAGAATTTTTTCCCATTATCTTCAGATGTTTCCTTCATTGCTACTCTTATTATCCTTGATGCCCCAGGAACTGAGGGCAATCTTCTAGCTTTATAAACTTCCATTTTTCTCTAGTAATCATTGATGCCAGATTTCTTTGCCCTCAGTAGCCAACTGCTCTTTCTCTCAGATCCTGTTTGATGATGTTGAATTTTTGGCTTTGCTTTGTGTGTGGCCTTTTGTCTAGCACAGGCCATCAATTTTCAAGAGCCCTGTCACTAATGATACTCATGTGCTCAGACCTGAAATGGTGTTTGGCTTTATGTAAGCTTCCTCCTAGAGATTCAGCTTCTACTTCAGACATATTGAAGAGATTAAGGAACTGTCAGGAAAGTAAAGTTTTTACAAAGATTTTTTTAATCTCTTTCAACATATTCTAAATTATTTCCACTGTGCCCTCATCACTCCCCTTTGGGACCTTGTAGACACCAAGTCTGTGACTATCCTTCTTTATCTGCAACATGATCACATGACTTCTCTTTCTTCAAAATGTCTTTTCATCATTTTTTCACACCCTTATTGACTGGCACAGCAATGATTCTGTCTAACTTTGCGCACCAGCACTTGATCTTGAATTATACATATGGCCAAAGTGACCCCTTAGCCTGATTACTTTTTTCTAACTTTTGGATAATAATTTATATTTATCTATCAATCAATCAACAAGCATTTGTTAAGCTCCTACTAGGTGCTAGTCATTGTGTCGGGCTCTGGGGAGTCTAAACATAAAAAGAGTGAAACAATCTTTACTTGCAAGAAATTAACATTTAAATGGAAAAGACAAATTTATACATGTACAAGGTGTTCCATAACTATTCACAGAGTAATACAGAGTCATTAAATACAAGGTAATTTGGGATGGAGGGCACTACCAGCTAGAGAGGATATCGGAAAAGTTCTTATATAGAAGGTAAAACCTGAACTGGGTCTTCTTGAAGGAAGAGAAGAGATAGAGGTGGGGATAGGAGAGGTGAAGTGAATAAGCATTTATATAGCACCTACTTTGTGACAGGCATTGTGCTAAGTGCTTTACAAATGTTATCTCATATGATCCTCAAAATGACCCTGTGATGTAGGTACTTATTGTTATCCTCATTTTATAGTTAAGGAAACTGAGTGTCTGAGGCCAAATTTGAATTTAGGTCTTACTGACTCCAGGCCCAGCACTCTCTTCACTGTACCACCTACCTGCCTCTAGAGAAAGTGCATTCCAGACCCAGAGGATGGCTAATATTATCTGTGAAGGAAAATCAGAAAAGGTCAATTTGACTGGATCTCAAAGAACCCAAGAGAGAGAGTATTGTCCAGTGAGGCAAGAAAGGTCAGTTGGGATCATATTGCCAAGGGCTTTGGCAGCCATACAGATAATTTTTTTTTATATTTATATATAAATTTATATTTAATCCTGGAGAATAATGAAAGGAAGCTGATGGGGAGTCACATGGTCAGATACGCAGCCAAGGAAAATCACTTTAAACCCTTTAAGGTTTATAAAATGCCTTCCTCACAGCAACTCTGTGAGATAAAGAGTATAGCTATTCCTCAGATCTGAGACTTGGGGACCCAGCTACTCCTTCCAGTAGTACACACACACACACACACGCATGCATGCACGCATGCACATACACATGATTTCCCAGTGACTGTCCCCCAGCCCCCACTGTAGAACTCTCCCTTGAGATAACAAGCGTAGTTAAGCAGAGCAAATCAATACACTGAGCATGTTTGACAATGTATGCCTTGTTTCAGGCTTAAACAAAAGGAGGGAGGTACATTTGACTGTCAGTCCTCTGGAGTCCAGTTAGGTCATCTAATCAATCTGTGTCCAAATATCTTGCAGTGGTGTTTGCCTTTGCATCATTGTCCACGTGTAACTTATACCCTTGGTTGTGCTTGCTTTGTTCTGCATCGGTTCATAAAAATATTCCCCAGTGTTTCTGAATTTTTCATAAATGTTATTTTTATGGAATAATATTCTATGCATTCCATTCCGCCAGAGTTTTTTTTTTGACATTGCCCAATTGATGAACCCCATTTTTGTTCCCAGTTTTTTGCTACATCTGTTATAAATGTGTTCAGTGTCTACAAGATGACTCCCTCTTGTCTTTAACCTCCTTGGGTATAGGCTTACTAGTAATACCACTGAGAGACAGCATGGCATAGTGCATAGAAAGCCAGCTTTAGACAGATTTTCTTAAGTCTCACCTCTATTAACATACTATCTGTGTGACCTGGGGCAAGACACTTGATTACTCTGTGTCCCTGGTAAGACTCTTGTAGATGGCACTATTCTTTTCACACCAGTGAATTCACGGGTGTAGACCAAAAATAAAATGGTATCATTTTGTAGAAACATATCCACATTTAGTGATTTTTTGGGTACAATTCTTAAAATGTTTTCTACAATAATCCTTCCAATTCATACCAACAATGCATTAATGCAAGAAACAACTTATGCCCATTTGCTCTTTTAAATCGGTCTTTGTACAGAGGGGAGCTAGCAATAGTTTTGACAAAAAAGAAAGAAAACAAGAAACAAAAGAAAGTCATTGAAGCATTTTTAAAATGCATAGAAGAACAGGAGGAGATTCAGAGAAAGACGAAGAAGCTTTGAAAGTAACATGTTGAATTTATAACTTTATAGTTTATAATGTATAATTTTTAAAAGCAAGCTGTACATAATAGTTTCACAGTTTTATATTCAATTCTCTTT